AAGTCGTGATGCATGGTACTAGCCGCTTCGTACACCACAACCTTCTCGCCATCTTCGAATCTTCTTTTCTTTGTCACCAAGTCCTTGAAAAATTTTACATAAGACGGCATATTCTTGATTACGTCAAGAAGTGGAAGGTTTACATTCACTTTTGAAAGCATATTGTAGAGGTCCCGGAATTGTTTTTCTTGCTTCTCATCCCGGAGTCGGCCCGGAAAAGGGATTCTTGGTTTGAAAGGATTTGAGGACTTGTGCAAAAGTGTACCTTCCATTGGCTTTTCCGAATTTTCCCGTGAGTTTTCTTCGACTTCATCGTCCTTGGGCTGATTTATTTCTTCTGGTTTCTCTATCTCGGGCAATTGGACTTGGTTGTCAACAACTTTGCCGCTCCTTAAAACGGTAATGGCCTTTGCTTGCTCGGGTTGGCTTGGGAGCTTTCCTTTATTGGATTCGGCCTCCAAATTTTCAACTCTTGAGGCGAGTTGGCCAATTTGCGTCTCGATACGCTTGATGGTGGATTCTTGATTCGTCATAAATTGGAGGATTTTATCCAATTTGTTGTCTTGAGTACCCGAGCTTGGACCAGTCCCTTGGTTTTGCATCCCTCCCATAGGGCCCCTTTGCGGTTGTTGTTGGGGGTAATTTGGTCTCATGAGTTGTTGAGGAGCGAAATTCGGGCGATTCGGTTGTTGAATGAAATTTTGTTGGGTGTTGTTGTTGTTTGACCACGAGAAGTTAGGGTGATTTCTCCATCCCGGATTGTATGTGTTAGAGTACGGATCGTTTACTGGTCGGTTTTGGAATCCTTGTAGAGCGTTGGCATCTGCATATTGTTCCCCAAAGTTTTGTTCGAAAGTGGAAGGGCACACCTCGGCTCGGTGCCCGTGGACTCCACATGTACCGCATGGTTCTACCGCCATAGCTTGTACCGGTTGTGCATTCCTCGCATTTAGTAGCCGCATTTGTTCTGTGAGCTCGGCTATTTGATGAGCCATCATATCTTGTCCGGGAGCTATCTCGTGGACCATCACTTTCTTTCCTCGGCTACTCTTTTGAGACGAGTTTGTACTCATCGTCTCAAAAATGTCCATCATCTCTTCGGCCGTCTTCGCTCCTATGTCACCACCGGCCGCATTATCCACCATGTATTGAAGGTTTTGGTGGAGAGAATCGTAGAAGCTGTTCATCAACAAAGCCGGTGGAAAGTTGTGGTACGGGCATTGCCTTTGAAGATCTTTAAAACGTTCCCAAGCCTCGTGTAGTGGCTCATTTGGTTGTTGGGCAAAAGACACAATTTGTGATCGGAGCTCTTGCGTCTTTTGATGAGAATAGTTATCTCCCGATGAATTTTGAATAAACTTGCTCCCAATTAGTGAGAGAGTCGGGAGCAAGCGTCATAAACCAAGCCTTAGCCCGGTCTTTTAGTGTTTCGGGAAAACACTTCATCTTTAGTTGGTCTTCATTAAGCCCATGGAGTGGAAAAGTTTGGAGAACGTTGTAAAACTCACGGATAAAATGGAGCGGATCTTCGTTGGGAAGGCCGTGAAATGACGGAAGTTGATTGTAGTGGATGGTTTTTAGCTCGTAATTCCGAGCCGCTGGTCCTAGCCGGATGCATGAAGTCACCGGCCCAATCACCGGTTGGGCTAAGTCACGGAGGAGATACCGTGGTGGGTTGTTCACTTCCTCTTCGTTATGTGCCATCTCACTTTGATTGTTGGAATTCGATGGTTCAAGAGAAAGATTGGCGAACAAGTCTCGTAAAGCCTCGTTAATGGATTTGTCCTCCGGAATGAGCACTCGGCCACTCCTAGTACGCATGCAAAAACAAGAAAAATGCGTTACGAGCACCTGTTAACGAAAAAAAATCAAACTATAAAACACATCGAAAATAATAATACAACTAAAAACAAAGAGAAACACAAAAACAATAATTCACACGAATGAAGCGAAACCAAAAATAAAAAATAAAAAAAAAAAAAAATAAAAATAAAAAATAAAAAATAAAAAATAAAAATAAAAAATAAAAAATAAAAAATAAAAATATGAATAGACGCACAAAATAATTCCTAAACCTTCCCCGGCAACGGCGCCATTTTGTTGGTAATATTTTTGGGCAAGTAATAACCGAGTTACCCGACTCGGGTCGTTCTCTAAGGAAGGTTAGCCGGATTAAATTGTATGTTTATTCAATTCACAAAAGAGAAAATATTCCTAAACATTCTAATTCAATTTAATAATGGGGTTTTAAACTAAATTAAAAGTAACATAAATGCTATCATTTTACTCGGAAAACCTTTCAAATGATAAAGTCGTTTTACTAGTAAATACTTTCTAACGATAAAATCGTTTTACTCGTAAATACTTTCAAACTAAAATTTGTTCTACTAGTAAAAACTTTCAAACAAATAAATTGTTCTACTAGTTAAATACTTTCAAACTATAAGTTGTTCTACTAGTAAAAACTTTCAAACAAATAAATTGTTCTACTAGTTAAATACTTTCAAACTATAAAGTTTTAAGGAAGAAAAGAGAATAACTAAAATGACAAAGATAAGTTTTAATAAATGTAAAAGTCTAGGGTATTGGGGATAATCAATTCCGGTTTTATTAACATTTATCGGTAATTAAATTACTCAGTTAAACGATTCACTTAATTTACTCATCTAGAGGTTTATCCGTACTAACTCTCGTAATATACGAATAAACTTAAATAAATGAATTAGTGGAACGGTTAACACATAAACAATACGTTTCCGAACATGTCTATTCTAAACAAATCAAGTTCTATCAACTTCGCCCCTTTCGGTTATGAAATCGATTATGTAGATTAAAATGGTGATCAAACATTTAACCATAATATTAATAAAATTTGTAAAGATTGAGCAATAAAAATACTTATAAACGATAATAAACCGAAACGATTATCCCCTAACCCTAGTTAGGAAATTAGTTACTCATAGTAATTTTAACATACAAATTCTTATGTAAATAAACCATTATAAACATAAAATAAAAAGAAAACTTACTAGTAATCCACAAGCTAGAGCAAGTGCAAACTTAATGTCCAAACTTCAACAATCTTCAACAATTTAATCTTACAAATTCAAACTTACAAATGTAGTAAAAATAGAAATGTGGAAAGATAAAATGATATGGAAAAATTCCCTTTTCTTTTTTTTCCCCCCTTTTGTTTGATGATAATGTTGCTATTTATAGATATAAATAGCATACTAACATCAACTAACATCAACCAAAGTTCAACAATAATTCAACCACCAAGAAAAATGCAAGAAAAGGTGAAAGAAGATAGGAAAAATGAGAGAAAGGTTGGAATTTTCGGACAAAATCCGAGAATGAATTTTTCCACGCGCATTCGCGCACGTCTCGATCAGCTCTGCTTCTCGGGCTTGTTTTGGGCTCGTCCGAACTCGGAATTGAGTTCCGTTTTTTTCTACGCGTTGCTAACGAACCCCTCTATTCAATGATGTATGCCAATACAAATTTCACCCAGAATACAATTATCTAAGGATTTTTAACTTCCAAGGTGTCGGCAACTCGCTCGATTTTACTCTTCGGTTCCGTACGAACTCATCCAAACTCGAAATCGAGTTCCGCTTTTTCCTGTGTGTAGCTAACAAGCTCCTCTTTCCATTAATGTAATCATGCTCAATAACTTTCCAAAATTCTGCTCTTCCGAGATTTTCGACCGTTCCTTTATTTTACAAATACTCGAAAAATACAAGAAAAATATACAAAAATTCCACACAAATACTTAAATTACAAATTACTAAATAAAACTAAAAACTACCCAAAATCCCACAAACTTACTAAAAATACATAAAAATAATAATAAAAAACATTAATAAAAACATAACAAAAATAACATTAACAAAAGCAACGGGAAAGGCAAGTGGAGAGAATATCAAAATAATGTTTTCATCAATATTCCTCATCTAACATTTTCACACAAATTCCCACGCTCAGATAAAGATGGTAGGAAAAAAAAAAAGTATAAAGGTGGTAGGCTAAGATGACAACAAGGATACTTGGGAATGAAGAGTAATATAATTTCCGTCTCGTAAACACCATTGTGCACTATACTCCTCCCCATCTTTATAGCACCGTGCTTTGCTTTTCTTTTTCCTTACGTCTATTTCCAAATTGTACTTTCTAACGGGCAGAAATTTTTTTGAGTGTAGCGGATAAACAATTTGAAGCAACGACTTCGACGATTAAGCCTTTCTTTTCAGTCTTCAATTGATTCTTCTATTTATTCGCGAAAGTGAAACACCCAACCGAGAGACCTACTACAATTATTAGGGTTTTTTGGGTTTGAAAATCATTATCCAAGGCATAAATCAGGTTATATTTCTCGATTATATTTTATAATTTTGGCGTTTTATTTTCATTGTTTGATTCCCAGACTCTTTTTTATGTGTTTGTCTATTATTATTTTTCACTTTAATTAAATGTATGTGTTGAAGAAAGGGTCCCTTACCGAATTTTCTCCATGGGCCCCAAAAATGTCAGGGCCGGCCCTGCATCTCGCCGCCCTCTGCCGACGAACTCACCACCACAGCCATCCTTTGCCGGCGCACTTTTCTACACCGCGTCTTTTCCTTTGTCTCTCTGCACCGACCTCCTCCGAGCCTGCATCTCGAGCAACGTCATTACCTCCTATCCTAACCAATCGTCGTTTCTCCTCAAGTGCCGCAACTAAGATCGTCTTCTCCAGGTAATTTAAGATCTTTAAAATTCTGTTTGTGCTTTTGTTTGTATGGTCTCTGAATAGTTCATCTGACCAAATCTAAATTCTAATCTGCTACTGCTAATGGGCAATTGGTTCAATGAGTAAAAAATGGATTTTTTTTGTTTGTTTATTTTTGTTTTTTCTTCATTTCAATTGGGGTTTTGATGTTCGACTGAATTGTGTTCGTCTTCAACTTTTTGAATCACTATTACAGCATTTCAATTTTATGAGGTTTCCTAATTGTGTTATGCCCAATTTTGAAGATGATTTTGTAACATTCTTTTATATCGATGATGGGTTTGTCTTCAAAGACTCAGAAACTAGCGATTTGGACCAAATTCAGAAAACCCCTTTTGCTCTCTTCGAGCACGACCTCTTATGGGAAGACGAGGAGCTCGTGTGTCTTTTGTCGGAGGAGAAGAAACAGGCTGGCCTGATTCGTGTCGTGATAGAGTCAGATGGGTGTCTGAAAATGTCGAGGGATGAGGCCGTTAAGTGGATGCTCAAGGTGATTGGGTCAGTTGACTATTTCGATCGATTTATTGCAAGCATTTGTTTCCAGAGGGACAAGCCGTGGATGGGTCAGTTGGCCGCTGTTGCCTGCCTTTCGATTGCTGCCAAGGTGGAGGAAACTCAAGTTCCTCTCTTGCTAGACCTACAAGTATGTTCTTTTTGTCTATTTGTTTGTTTGTTTGTTTATTTATTTATTTAATTTTTGTGTGTGGCAGTGTGGGGAAAATTTGATTGAGGAACTTATCTGGGTTTGTTTTGATTTGAGTTTCTTTATTTTTTTACTTTTTAGTTAACTTTTTGCTGAGATTTTGTTATATAGGTGGAGTCTAAGTATTTGTTTGAAGCAAAGACCATTCAGAGAATGGAGCTTTTGGTTCTGTCTACACTTAAATGGAAAATGAACCCGGTGACCTCAATGTCGTACTTTGACCACATTGGGAGGAGATTTGGGCTAATAAAGAATCTGCATTGGGAGTTCTTGAGGAGGTGTGAACCTGTGATCCCCTCAATCATCACTGGTAGGTTTATTCGGACAATCGATTCTCAATCCATACGCTTCGTGTATTGCACGTTTCTAATATATCTGCATAATTTTGTAGATTGTAGAATGGCCCATTACCCTCCTTCTGTCATTGCTTGTGCATCAATGATTCATGTGATTAGAGATATCGAAACCGATGATTATCTCGACTACGAGAATCAGATCATAAACGTACTTGAAACTTGCAAGGTTGGATTATTTAATTTTATCTTAAAAATTTCACAAAGGTGAAACAAGAAGTAGATCAATTAGGTAAATACTCACATTCTTGAAATCAAATGATATCAGGAAAAGATTGACAGTTGCCTCAAGCTTATCATGGAGCTCTTAGATGATCCTAGCCGTAGATCTTACGGCAAGCGCAAGCACATGTCTACACCTGGCAGCCCGAGTGGCGTGATCGATGCCGATTTCAGCTCAAATAGCTCGGTCGACTCGTGGGCCGTCGGATCATCAGTTTCATCATCTCCCGAGCCAGTTTTCAAGAAGAGCAGACCACAGGATCATCATATGAGGATGGCCTCACTAAGCAGCTTCTCTGGTTGGCAATCCTAATCGCACTTCAGTTAAATTGAGCTCGCATTTTTTTTTTTCAATTAACTTATTTATATGATATTGGCGATGATGCTACTACGTGATTTTTATCTACTATGCTGCCACAATTCCTAGAATAATTTGGTCCAATTATGTGACTGTGTTGTGTTGGGTGGGTTATTTATATATAAAAAAAATAAAAAAATATCTGTGGCCCAAAATAAAAAAATAAAAAAAAGTGGTGGAAATCAATCAAACACGCGCATTTTAAAAATCCGTGTTTCTAATAAAATTTTTATTAGAAACACGGATTTTCATAATCCGTGTTTATTTTTATTTTAAACTTTTTTTGTTAACGGTCGAATTTGTTAATAATAATAGATCTAATTCATAACACGGATTTTGGAAATCCGTGTTTAAAGGGAAAAAAATAAAAAACAATTAAAACGGATTTTGAAAATCCGTGTTTATGTTAAAAACTAAAAAAAACGAATTTTCAGTGTTTAGGTTGATATAACCAACAGCAAATTCCTCCCCCAGACCACTGCGAATTCTGTTTCATAAACATATTTTTGTGTCTTTTGTTCGATTTTGGCGAATTGAAGCTCCTTTAAAAAAAAAAAAGAAAACAAATTTTCAACCAATCATCGGATAAGAGGTTAGTTTTTATTTTAATGTAAGTAATATTATTTTTTTTGTTGTTTATGAATGTTTAAAATATATATTTGGTTGATTGAGTATTGTTTATAAAATCTTGAATGTTGGTTTAATAGTTGTGTTAAATGGTTATAATTTGTTATTTGTTATTATTTAGAAAATCTTGAATGTTGGTTTACTGTATGTTGAATATTTATCCGAATTGTTTATGAATTTGATGTTATTGTTGGATTATGGTGATTAGGGTTTTGGTGGTTTTTGATAAATTAATTGACAATTTTGTTTTTTTTTTGGAGTAAAAATATGACTAATCATATGTTGTTGGAAATGAGTTTTAAATTTAGATTGGTAAAATAATAATTGAAATTTTCTATGGTGTTTGATTAGCCATTATGTGTTGTTATAATTTGTAAAATAGAAATTTTTTTTGTACAACAGATTATAAATGGCGTCTAACGGTCCCTACTTTGTTAATGCGTACTGGAAAATTCCCCAGAGTGAGTTATGGAATTTTTTGAATTATATGTCTCGTCCGGATTGTTCATTTGTTATTAATGGAATAATAGCATATGAACAATTGGTAGATATGATTTACGAAAATGGTAATTTTCGTGATAGTTGGACAATTTCGGATATTACTTTGATGGCGAGACAACAGGATGGTTCGTTTATTCCCGGAAGACTGAATAATGATAATTCTCTTTCGTGGATTTACTACTCTCCTCCTATGTTCTATGTGTTTTTGTATATAGTGTTGGAAGCAAACACACAGGTTACACAGGTTGAGGATCCTACGCCATCATATGGTTATGAGGGAATGTTTGGTGGTGAGGGTACGTGGACTACGCATGCCGGTAATTTTGGTGAAGGGATGAGTAATTTCGGCGAAGGAACGAGCTTTACCATGAGAGGACCGGACATTGAGGAAGAAATTGTTGGAGATGAAGATTTCAGTCCCGGGGAAGACGATTTCACTGATGAGACCTCGGAAACCGAATCAGACAGATCAATTAATGAGGAGAGCGAACAAGAATTCATTGAAGAACACCCCTTTCCAAATGAAGGCCTCAACGTATATCGCGAGATGGGTGAGTGGGACTCGTCGTGTGTAGACAGGGACGACTATGCTTTGCCAACCTGGAATGGGCATGTCGAGACTATCCGTTTGGGTACAGTTTTTCGTACCATGGAAGAAGCCCGGATTGATATTAATGCCTGGAATGTTGAGAAGCTTAGGGCAGTCCGGACAAAAGATTCCAACAAGAAGTCGTTCAAAGTTGTGTGTGTTGGGTTCGATAGTACAGTACGGGCTGTACGCAGCGGAATTTAAAATTTTTAAAGTAAGTATTTATCGTATAAATACAACACCCGTACATACTAATTGCGAATTAACTGATCGTCATCTTTAAAACATGCATCATATACAAATTTTGATTTGTTACTATAAAGTAAATACTAGTAAAAATATTTACCGAATTTCTTGAACTCCTTCACTATTGATGATGGATGAGGGAATCGGTTCCCGGTTGTAACTTCAACGACTTGAGGTAACTCGCTAGAGGAATCCAAGTGTCTTCCCTCTAAACGTATCCACCCTATGAAGCCCGGTTCCGACGACTTTCCTTCGCTAGTAGAAAAGACTCGGTTTTCTTGTATAGGAATATTTATGAATTTTATTTGGGAATTTTAAGAACTCTTTCTTGAAGTTTTATGAAGAACACTTTCTTCTCTTTCTAACACTTAGAAATTTAGGATCAAAAACTTCACTTAAATGCAAAACCATTTTGCATATATTTATACTAAACATTTTAGTATAAAATAATCAACATTTAGTAATATTAAATAAAATCAAATTTTATTTAAATAGTATTTACTAACTTTTGACTTTGAAAATAATAAGATATGTTAAGTAGTTCAAACAACCATCAACAACCATTTTGTTATAATCATATTTATTATTTTAATCCTTAAATCATATTTAAAGATATAAATAATAATTGGATAATAAATCTTGAGAATCTTTCTCAAGACTTTATTATTATATCATTTTCCCAATATTATAATAATCATATTATTATTATTTTGGATTTTTGAAATTTAAAATCCTATTTTAAAATTCAACTTTATTAATTTAGTAATTAC